CTTGCTCCTAACAACTACACTAGCCTGGCTCTCGTCTGTCCACAGCTGCTCTGCCAAGATGAGTGGAGCACCCCCGAGGCTGGGCCCTTCCCTCTTGGACATCTGCTGCTGTGTTCATCACAGAGCCCCTGGCCACCCATCTGGTAAGGCCACACACCCACCACAAAGTTCATGGAGCCACGGGAAGTTTGTTTTGCCAGTGCCCAGGGAACTTGGCACAAAGCCTAGGTGAGACTGATATGTCTAAAAAGGATAGCTGCCTGTGAACCGAAAGGCTGTAGGTTCAATTCCCAGTCAGGGCACATGCCTAGGTTGCAGGCCAGAGCCCCGGTTGGGGGCATGTGAGAGGCAACTGGTCTCTTGCACATTGATGTCTCTCTCCCTCTTTCTCCCTCCCTTTCCATCTCTCTAAAAATAAATAAACAAAATCTTAAAAAGGATAGCCAACCAGGTGCAGTGGGAAGTTCCACCATATAAAAGGTTTGTAAATAAGGGCCTTACACCATTACTTTTGTTTATTGTTATTATTTTTACAATGCAACAGTACAGGGCACAGTTTCTTTTCTAGGCCATTACATTGTTATGTTCACTTTTATTTATTTTCAGGAGACTTTTTTCTTACTTCATGTCCATTTTTCTGTACCTTAGTGGGTTTTCTTTGTGTTTTTTTTTTAATTTTTTTAATTGTATTTATTTATTTTTAGAGAGGGAAGGGAGGGAGATAGAGAGAGAGAGAGAGAAACATCAATGTGCAGTTGCTGGGGGTTATGGCCTGCAACCCAGGCATGTACCCTGGCTGGGAATCGAACCTGGGACACTTTGGTTCCCAGCCCGCACTCAATCCACTGAGCTAAGCCAGCCAGGGCTGTACCTTAGTGTTTTAATAGTGATTTCCAAGATTGACGTGTTAAAACTTTATAGTAAGACCATTTAAATTTCATAAAAATTCACGTCTATTTATCATGGAATTATTCAAGCCATTTTTATTCATGATTAAACCTACTGAAATGGGTTGGTTTAAATAATTTAGAAGGGAATTAATACCCAATATGCCCAGAATTCTAACATTAGTGGATATTTATTTAAAAATCAAAGAAGACATAAATTTATAGGGGTCATGTGAGTTCATTTATATTTCTATATTTTAAGAAAAAGTTCTTGTTATTTTTGCCTCATGACAAAGGCTGTGATTGTGGAGAGAGAAAAACGAAGAGACTGACATTATGGAATGAATTTGATCATGATGTAAGTTGCTGGTTTTTCTGCAAAACTTTAAAAAAAGATTTTATATATTTTTAGAGAGAGGGGAAGGGAGGGAGAGAGGGAGAGAAACATGTGAGAACAACACCCACTGGTGGACCCTCACACGTGCCCTATCCAGGAACCAAACCTGCAACCCAGGCATGCACCCCACACGCCAGTCAGGGCCTGACTGGGAATCGAACTGGTGACCCTTTGCTTTGTGGAACAATGCACAACTGACTGCGCCATACTGGTCAGGGTGGCATGACTTGTTAATTTTTTAAAATTGCACAAGAAATGCATGTAATCATTATCTTAAACTTTCATAGAATTCAGAAGAGTGTAGAGAAGCCAAAGTTAACTTTCAACCCTTGGCTTGCTAAAAGATTGTTTAAAAATCATGTTTAGGTGTTAAATTTTACAAAATGCTCCTTTGATATCTACTGAAATACCAAAGATTTTCTTTGTTAATGTTTCAACGCAGTGAATTACATCAAAAAAATTCCCTATATTGAACCAATCTTGTTTACCTGGAATAAACAATCTTAGGTTATGATGTGTTATTCTTTTAATATGTTGTTAGATTTGATTTAATATTATACTTAGAAATTTGGCTTGCATGCTGATAAATAAGTGGACATAAATTCCCTTTCCTTTCTTTTTTCCTTCCCTCTTGACACTTCTTCATTTCTTCTCTCCCTCTCGCGCTTAGTGCTGTAGAGCCTTGCTCCGTTTTAATAAGTTATCATTTTCTCAAAAAAAAAAAAAGAAGTTTGAAAGTTTTATGTTGTTTCCTGTGTTCTGGAATTCATCATTATTTTAAGATACTCAAAATGAAAAAATCCATTTGGATTTGAAATCCACTTGATTACATTATATTTGTCAACTAACGGAAGGGAACTACTGGAACATTTCAATGTAATTTTACTTGTAAGCTTTGGAATGGATTACAATCTTTTCTTATCAACTACTTGAAGTTATGAAGTCTCTTGTCAATGTTGACTACCGAGAATTTGAAAAGATCATCATTAGTAGGCCTTGATCAGGAATTGCATTGGTGAACCATATTGATTATAAATCCTCATATCAAAAGGTTGCATTCACAGGAGCAAGATCAAGTTTCTTAAGAAATAAAATTTAAAAATATATTTAGATGTTTTAGTCAAAGTTGATACTTCATATCCTCTCTATGAAATACGTTGTCTTTCACTTTTCTCATCTGAAAATGTAATACATATAAAAGGGATGTGAGCCTTGGCTGGTGTGACTCAGTGATCGAGTGCCTGCCTGCGAATCAAGGGGTCACCGGTTCGATTCCCAGCCAGGGCACATGGCTATGTTGCCCACCAGGTCCCTAGTAGCGGGTGTGTGAGAGGCAACCACACATTGATGTTTCTCTCCCTCTCATTCTTCCTCTCTTCCCCTCTCTAAAAAATAAATCTTCAAAAAAAAAAAAAAAGGGATGAATTTTCCCCCAGGACTCACATAGACAGTCTGAAATCCCTTCCAACTTTCCCCCTCCCATAGTTTGTGCGTGTGACTGGCAGGTTTTAGATTGGGAATCAGTGAGTTAGAGGCCTGATTAAAAAATTTGCAGAATACTACACAGCTAGAAAAAATAATGAAGCTGCCCTGAGTTAACTGTTGAAGCTGCATGCTGAATACAGGGGATTAAAGTCCTCATGGAAACCTCTTTTAAGTAGTTTTTCTTATTGTACTTTTTCCATTACCATTTACCTCCTTAATCCTCTGTCTGTCTCCTCCCCCCTCTCCCGCAATCGCCACAGTGCTATCCGTGTGCATCTCTTGGGAATTTCTGTAAGATTCATTATTTAGGTGTGAAATACAAGGTACAATGTGTTACCATTTGTGTGTTAAAAAAAAAGGTCACTATATTTATTGTAAGAAGGTGTTTCTGGAGGGATACCAAGAATCCTGGGGAGAGGACTTGAGTGGCTAGGTAAGGGCCAGGGGCCAGGGACGCTTGGTAGGCGTAGAAGTGGGTGGGAGGCTGGAGGCTTTGGTCTTGAACTAAGAATGGTGACCTGAGCTCCGAGAAAGCGGTGGCAAGCTCTGAATCCAGTACCCAAAGGTTGGAAGTGCAGACATCCTTCTGGTGAGCAGGAAGGATGGCCACTGGAGAAAGCTGGCCCGACAAGAGAGGGGTCTGCAGGAGGTAGGTGTGGCTTTCAGGTCGCATCCCACATCCCCCACCCCCCAGGGGGCAGTTAAGCCGGCTCCTGAAAGTGGGTGGGGTGGAGCTCCAGAGGCAGGTCCCACATCCTGGCCTGCCCTGCCCTCCCAACCCCACGCTGGAGCACCGGCTCCTAGAGTCCTTTCAGGCTTTCCCAGACCTCTCCCCTACCTCCCGTCACAGCCACATGGGGATTCACAAAGTGCATCTCATCCCTCCTCCTGTGCAGTGTGCCTATTGGTGGGGTGATCACTGCAGCGCCCCCCCCCCCCATATCCAGTCCTCCCTGAAGCTCTGTTTGGTTATCTCATTCAATCTTGACCACCGTCTCAAGAGGTGAGAACTGACATCATCCCCATTTCATAGAGGGAAGTTGGGGCACAGACACTGATAACTTGCTCCAAGACCAGGAATGGTGACTGGGGGTACACACCTGGCCTGTCCATTCTCAAAAGCGGGGCAGTTGACTGAACATCTTCTCCACGCTGCTCTTCTAGAACCCTCTTCATGCAGCAGCCAGGGGGCGCTTTGGGGGTTCTCAGGGGGCTTATCACTACTAACCACCTTCCTACAGTTCTGGCCACCTTCAGGATCAAGTTCAGTCCGCTTATCCCTCATCTCTGGCATCTTGACACAGGAGCCCCATCTCAACTCCAGATACACCAACTTACCTTCAGCCTGAAAACTCCTGTTCAACTCCTGCATTTGCTTCTTCATCAGGCTTCTCGCCACTCCGTTCTTGTAGTTAACTCTTCCACATTCCTCAGGCCCAGGCCCCTGAGGTCACCTCTTCCTAGGAGCCTGACTTCCTGACTGCCAGCTATGCTCGGGTCCCATGTTAAATGCTCTCTAAAAACTCATTATGAGCCTCTCAAGTAGTACTGGCCTCATACATGGGCTTCATTTTCGTAAACGCAATGGAATCATTATTCGAAAACTCCTCCTCTTATTCTTGTTATCTCTGATCCATCAGTTGATTCTGTGAGGTCCACCTTTAAGATGTTTTCTCAACTGACCCCCATCTCCTTCCCCACTAGGTCTTTCAAGCCTCACCACGCTTCCTCATGGTCATGTTTCCACCTCTGCCCTGCAACAGCTGTCTATTTGTCCATCGTCTTTCTCCCTGAGTAGAATGGAAGCTCCATAAAGGCAGAGACTTTGTTCACTACAGAATCCCCAGGGTCTTACAACTGTGGCTGTGACTCTGTCCCACTAGAATGGCAGCTCCTAAGGCCAGGGTCTACTTGTCCTGTTCATGTACAGCCCATTGCCTAGCACACAGCAAGTGTTCAATAAAAACCCCCTTTACGGACAGGTGAAGCCCTGGCCAGGTAGCTACGTTGGTTAGAGCATCACCCTGATATGCCAGGGTTGCAGGTTCGATTTCTGGTCAGGCCACATACAAGAGCAATGTTTTTCTCTCAGGCCTAGAGTGGAAAAGAAGCTCATCCAAGATCCTCCTCTGGGGGCAGCAGAGCCGACCTCAGTACCCAGCTCTCTTGCAGCCTGTCGGCCAGGTAGCCCCTTCTTTCCCATTCCGGAACACATGAGCCCAGGCCCTTTGTTCACTTATGAACAGTTTATTACTTTACTCCACTTTCACCTGCACACAGACTAGTTCAAAGAGCTGGGACAAGTGTAGGATAGGGGTTGGGGGAGGGACAGGTGCCCCTCAGGAGCCAGGACCCCTGGCTGGCTTCCCCGGACCAGGGCAGGGAGGGAGCATCAGGCTGTTCGATCTCTGGGCACCAGCTCTCCACGTGCACACGCACAGCAAGCCAGCAGCTCCTCACACATAAATACAGACACGCTTAACAAAAATAGTATATCATCTTCACAAGGAATAAAAACTAGTTTCGAATATGTACAGCAGAGAGCCCCAGGGGCCAGGGCTAGGCCAGGAACCCCAGGGATGAGACAGGCCATGGGTAGAGCAGAGGAGAGAGGGAGGCCTGAAGGGCTCCTGGCCAGGCTACTCCGACCTGGCAGCCTGGCTGCCCAGGCTGCAGGAGGGTGGAGCGCAAGTCTGTTTGGCCAGGCAGGACTGACCCTCCAGCCAGCCCTACTTCCACCCTGTGTACCAGGCTCTCCTTCCTGCCCTTCCTGCCTGAGGTAGGGAAGACCCTAGGGCTCCCATAGCTGCTGCCTACTGCTCCCCTTCACCCCTGGGCCGAGGCCCCTGAACCCCATGGGCAGCAGTCCAAAGCAAAGATGCCACAAGGCTGATCTCCTTGCAGGAAGTGAGGCAGCTGAGGCCATAAACAGCTCTGGGGTATCTGTCTTGGGCCCACTTGGTCCCTCAGTCATGGTCAAGGGAGCCAGGGGAGGGGAAAGGGAAGGGGACTGGGGTAGTGCTAAACTGCAAGGGGTCACCCTAGCTCTGGTGTGGGGTGCTTCCTGCAGCCGCAGGCCCTCCTCCTGGGTTGGGCTGGCCTCTAGCCAAAGGCCTCCAGGACATTGGGGATGGCGGGTGGGGACTTTGGCCAGGCCAGAGTTGGGAAGGGGGTCCTGGTCCTAGTTTTTTCATCCGAAGCAGCCTGAATCCCTAACTAGTCAGAATTGGCCCCTAAGTAGCTATTGGAGGGCGGGAATAAAAGGAAGGGGAGCTCAGGTCCTGGGGGGGTAGGGTGGGGCAGGGATAAGAAATGATCAACTCTGAGGCCACAAACATCAAAACGAAGGCAATCTAGTCTTTGTTTCTGGGAAAAAAGGTCAGAAAACTTTCTAGCTCCCTGGCAGGAAAGTATTCTTGGAGAGGCTAAGGGGTAGGGGGGTTCCACCAATCAGGCAGTGCCCTCTAGCCCCCAACTCCCACATACCTGCCAGCTTCCACGGGGCAGGTTTTGGGGAAACTTTGTGGGTTGCAAGGCCAGGAGAACTGAGGTGTGGGGGAAGGTGGCTCTCACAGAAGCATGGCGGAATCTAGAAACTAATTGCGGGGGGCCCAATCTAGGCCCAACCCTGTGATGTGTACGGTGGTCACGGGCTGCATGTAGTGGTTCTCCTGGTGGCAATGGTGGCAGAAAGAAGAGATGTAGTAGGGATGGGACGGTGAGTGGGTAGTCAGTGTCTGGTCATTTCCGACTGAGGAGCGAGCCCAGCAGAACCATGCCAGCCAGAGTCATGCCCGTCAGCAACCAGCGGTTGAAGCGCTCCTGGCCCTTCCGGCTCTCGGCCGCTGCATTGTTTCCGTAGAGTTCCACAAAAGTGTCCTGGAGGGAGAGAGAAGAGAAGGAAGGTACTGTTTGAGTCCTCAAAGGGTAACATGGGGGATGGGGTGGGAGAAGAGGGGCCAGCTTCATGTGATGGCCTTGATTTGAAAAAGTAGAGTCATCCATGCCCACTCTGGGTCTGATAAAAGGTTAAGGGCTTCCCTCCTTCTTGACCTCCAGGTGGGGATGACCAACCCATTTTATTGCTGAGAAATCAGGTGCAAAGTAAGAAAAGAGCTTTGTCCAAGGTCAGACAGCTAGGATATGGTACTCTAGAACCTGAGGTGGGAAAGAGATGGGCCGGATCACAGAATAACAGGATGCCAAATAGCTGGGGCAAAGTGCAGAAGGAGGGGATAGGTGAGGTGAGGGTGCATGGGTGAGTGAGAGCCAGACCACGTGTGGTCTGGAATCCACAGAGGAGCTTGGGGTCTGAGGTCAGGGTGGGGCTATAAGGCCTCACTCAGCCTTTCCACTGCTGTGACGGAAGCAGGGAGGGAGAGAAATGGGCCAGGGTGAATCCCCAGAGTGGTGCACAGGGCAGAGTAGGTCTGGAAACTCTTAGCCAGAGGCTCTTCTTCTTCTGGAGGGAGCCTCTGCCCAGGGTAGGCCAAGCAAGGCAGAGTAGAGCTGGTAACGACCATGCAGGACTGGCATGGGGCTAAGAGCTCCTGGCCCTGTCCCCCACCCCAGGGGGTGTGACTCTGGGCCCGGGAGGAGGTGAGCAACAGCCCTGGGCCTTGAAGCCAGTCAGGAGGGAAGCACATGACAGGGGGAGGGAAGGGCTTCGGTTCTGAGCCAGCCCCAGGGTGGAGCCAGCCCTCAGGGCAGGGAGAGGGGCGCTCAGAGCACCCTTTAATGAGGAGCCTCCCACCTCATTGGTCCTTTAATCCTCCCAACAATGCAGCAAGGCAGGCTGTCTCCCCCATTTACAGGCCAGGAAACCGAGCCTCTGAGGGCGGGGAGCCTGGATCAGCTCACCCAGCTTTGTCAGTGGAGGACCAAGACCCACGCCTGGTGTCTGACACCTAGAAATCACTGTGCTGTGTTCCACTGAGGAGGGAATGAAATGAATCAGTGGCTGGTTCCAGGCCCAATGTTCTTGCCTCTCCACCAGGAGCCCTCGCCCTGAGCCCACATTTCCACCTGGTTCCAACCAGCTGAGTGGTGTCGGATCCCTCAGGCAAGGCCTGCGTTTCCAGTTGGCCCCAGGGCACCCCTGGCCCTTTTGCTCCCTCAGATACTGCCTGGCTCCGCCCCTGGTCTTGATGACCCTCCTCAGTCCATGCTCCTCGAGGAGGAGATTTTTAAAAACAGATCGGATCACCGCATGCCTGTGCGCAAAGTCCTCTCATAGCTTTCCCTTGTACTCAGGAAGCCACTGTCATGTCTGTTCACATCCCTGATACCCTAGCAGAGTGTCATGCGCACTGAGCTGCCAACTTGACTCAAAGAATCCTCAACATTTATTAAGCCATTAGGAAGGTCTGCTGAGAAAAGGCACTGGAGAATGCAGGCAGGTGGGGAAAGTCCCTCCAGTTCAGACCACATCATCCCAAGCTCTCAACCTTTCCAAGGCTTTCCCATCACACCTGCCGTCGAGTCCTTACCACAGACAGCAAGGTTAAGCAGGACCTGGCTCCTCCCCAGTGCACACTCTACACATAGCAGTATCCTCCCTGTTGGTCCTAGAACATCCACTGAGCTCAGGAGCTGCTGCTCTTGCTGCCTAGAGCACTTGACCCCAGATCATCACCGGCCTCACTCCCTCATTTCACCCCTGACTCTGCTCAGATGTCATCTCAAGTGCCTTTCCCAGTCACTGTGTCTAGCATGGTATCCACCCCCATCTCTCTCATCTATTCCCTTACCTTGCTTTATTTTTCTTAGCACTTTTCATAACCAGATTCTACAGTTTGTTTTTATCTCCTGCAGTAGATGTGGCTTGATGAGGCAAAGGTTCTGCCTTATTTCTGTTCACCCAGAACAGTAACAGTGTCTGACACACAGCTGGAAGTCCACAAGTACACGAGTAGAACAAAGGTACTACATGTGTACTAAGTGCCCCGAGCTATTCTCTCATTTCACCTTCATCATAATTCCCGGACTGGAGATTTGAACCCATTTCACAAATGAGACAACTGAGGTTTACTGCAGAAAGGACTGTGTGAAAAGGTGGCAAAGCCAGGGTCAGAACTCAGGATGGCCCAGCTCCAAAGGGAACACTGCTACAGCAGGACATTCCCTATGTGGGGCACCAGGGAGGACCTACCCTGTCACTAGTGCTGCATGGATTCCCTGAAGAAGGTCGTGGGGGTGGGGTGCAGGCAGAGTCTTGGGTCTGGGAGACAAAGGTAACAGCAGTGGCAGCAGCCAGCCCCCTAGCTCTTGGCCTGCTGTTGCCCACTCATGGCTGTTCGGATACGCAACCCTATTTCTCCCCCTTCACCCTGGCTAGCCTCCATGGGTGCTGGCAAAGAAAATTCTTAGAATTGTTTTAATTTCTCTGATCCACGTGAAGTAGGCCCAGGTGGAGTCGCAAAAAGGGCAGACCTGTGATGGGGAGAGTCCTGGGCTGTGGGGAGCATGGGAGAAGTGAGGCCATGGCCAGAAGGCCCTGGTTATCATCCCAAGGGACCGAATGTCCCGCAAGAAACCAGGGACACTGGGGTTGTAGCCAAAGTGGGAGAGGCCTGGCTCCCTCAGTGGGAACTTTCCTGAAGTAGAGGCCTGGCAGCCACAGGAAATTTTCAGCTCTGGGGCTGGACTGGAGTAAACAGGCTCTGTCCCTGCAAGGGCACAAAGCACTCACTGTCCAGGAACAGTCATTCCAGGGTGGAGGGAACATTCTCGTTTCGGTGCGTAGTGCGTAGAAGAGAACAAGGCTGTGATCTGCCCAGCCCCCAAGCGTGCAATCCTGGCCAGAACAACACTTCATCTCCACTTCAAGGAGCTCCTTCTCCTGGGGAGAGGGAAGTAGGGTTTCCAAGGGCTGTGGATTCTGTGGATTGCTTTTGTAGACACAGCACTGTTCCAGGGCGGATGCTGGGTGCCGGGTGCTGGGAGGCAGCGGTGTGGGTATATTTAGCCCACGGTTCACACGACACACTTGGAAACAAACAGCCATTTTCTCAGCGGGCGGCTGCTCTAAATAAACAAACAGGATTGCAAAGCAGCACAGTCTGGAAAAGCAGAGATAAGCCCCCAATGCTCCTCAGTGGCTCCCACTGGTTTTGGCCAGAGGGGGCATGGTGGGCAGGGAGGTGAGAGATAAGGGTGTGTTGCAGGGAGGTCTCTGATGTCACAGTCCTTGGGAGACCCAGGCCTGAGAGGTCGTCTGCATTTTCAGCTTGAGTTAGAGCAAATGGGGGAAGTGTCTCTTTGCAGCTGTGACTGCTACCACGGGGATCCACGTGGGGGTTTTCAGGGCCACTGGGGAGAGGCAGTAGCTAATGACCCCCTTGGGAGAATCACGGGCATCTAGCCAGGCAGGCCCACAAGTTAGCAAGGCCAACACACCTGCCCCTTCTACAGGATCACACAGCCAGTTGGTGGTAGAGCTTGGACAAGGAATTGGGGTCTCCCAACTTGGCATTGGGGCCCTTCAGAATGGCAAGGCAAGTACCAAGGTCCCTGGGAGAAGCCAAGGCTGGGCCTGTTTTCCAGTTCCTGCCTCCCAAAGTCCTGGTCACACATGCAGAATGGTCTGCCCACAGGTTCCAGAGAGCCTCCTGCCCCTGTGCCTCTGCCAACACCGTGCCCTCCTACTGGTCATCCTTCCCACATCTCCCTTCCTCAGCCAACTCCTGCTCAGTTCACAGGACTTCACTTTGAAGACCTGTCTTCCAAGAGGCCTTCCCTACTCGTCCCTCTTCCGATTCTGGGACGAATGTCTCCTTTGTGCTCCCAGGGTTTCTGGACTTCCCTGCACACCATAAACATTCACTGAGCACCTACCACGCTCTACGCCCGGCACTGGAGACACAGCAGAGAGCAAGACAAACAAGGTCTGGGCTTTCATGGAGCTCCCGTTCTCCTCCATGCACGCTCAATGGGGAGAAGTGAAGAATTCTGGGATATTGCAGTGGTTTGTGGCTCTCTGTGGTGCCAGAGCACAATCAGAGATACAGATACATGGAACAGCTGCACTCTTCAAATGTAATGGGAGGGCAATTAGGACAAAAATGTCTTGAAAAGACTCCTTAGGGGGTGGTAATAAGGGAAAAAAAGTTGAGAAAAACTGTCCTCATGAGAAGCACAGAAGATAATTACGAAACAAACTTTCAGAGGTGATGGGACTTTGAAGACAGTAAGTAGTGGAGCGGTGACAGAAATGAATACTGGGGGACTGACGTAGGTGGGGTGCTCAGAGAAGGTGTCTCTGAGGAGAAAAGAGCTGAGCTGAGACCTGAATGACAAGGTGGAGGTGGTCAAGGGAGGATCGATAATCTCAAGTGAAAAAGGGCACGCTCCAGCACAAGCAAGTGCACAGGCCCTGAGGTGGGAAGGAGAGGTAGGGCGCCCCTGGATTGAGGCCCCGTAACTGTGTGTTGGTCTCTCCCAAAGGTCTGCAGGGGTGGCAGTCAGTGTAGGCAGGACCGAGTCTCACCCACATCTGAAGCCAGGGGCCCATCCAGACAGACCCTGGCTCAGAGGCAGACAAATGAACAATGCAGGTCACCCTGCAGGCACCTGCAACCCTGGAGAAGGCAGGACAAGGGCTGGCAGAGGATATTCCTTGTGCGGTGGCCCAAGTGCCAGTGCATCGCCCACCCTATCAGGGCCTACAGTTCCGTCCCTGCTGGAATGTGGTAATTCTGCAATTCCTACTCTCCTCTGCAACTGTCTGTTTCCATGCTTCTTCCTAGTGGTGTGACTTCGAACAGGTTACTTCACCTCTATGGCTCCTAGTGTCCTCACTTGTCAAATGACACTGAAATAACAGTTATATATTTTACCTATGCCAGTCACTGAGCCAAAACATTTTACCCTGCCTGGGC